GAATGAGCTGTATATATAAGTGGTCATTGCTAAAGACCGGGGAATGCCGGCCCGGAAGAGCGATGTGGTGAAGAATTTTCTCTTCATGATGTCGAGGGTTTCTGCTCCCCCCTGGCTGTGCGTGGCTATAATATAGCTCATTATTCATTGAATAATTATATCTGATTATACAATGTGATCACAAATTTAACTTATATTATCTGCTGTAGATGGAAATTGGATATAAAAACGTTATGGGTTTAAAAACATTAAAAGCGTTGAATACACCACAAGAATCAACCCCTGATTATACGCGAGAAGAGATCGAAGAAAATCTTGAAGCATTAAATTCAAAACTTGGAGCCCCCATATCAAACAAGGATGCATCTCTTTATGATGCTCTCAAGAAAGGTATAGAAAAAATAGATATTTCTGAGCACAACTGGCGGAATCTGCTATCAAGTACGGTTATTAGTGATGAATCTCAGTTGGTAAAGAATTTAAAACAAAGGCAAAGACGTACTTTTTTGGTAATAATAATTTAGCTATATATAAATTGTGTTTATATTAGCGAAAATGATTCGAAAGTTCTATGTCTTGCACTCCTAATGTAATTTCATCGATTTAGGAGCCACGGGAGGATATGAAATGTGAAATCCCGGAGCTGATTTATTCTAAGTGCGATGAGTTCGTGAATAATTTTAATAAGACAGAAACAGATATTCTGAATGATCTTACCCATGATAAGACATGGAAAGAGAATGTAATTGAGTTGGAAAAAGTAGCAAAACGAATATTTGTCACACTGTAAATAATTGTCTTTTTATAATCGTATGTAATTGTTAGATTGAATATTAACGCATACTTATATCTATAAATTTAGAGGGGAGATATGGAATAATCCTGCTTTTGAAACCAGCATGTCCCGAAATGAACAAAGTGAAGGGACCTATATATCAGATATCATTATGCCTTTGCTTCGAGCCACCTTAAGCAATTTGCCAAATGGACATATTTGTTTAAGTACTGCTAAGCATCAGAGCTTAGCAAGTAAGTTATGACTAAATGATGGAGCAGGTAAGAGAAGAATAGGCAAAAAACCTGATATTATGGTATTAGAAAAGTGTGAAGGAAAGCTGGTAGAATATCTATATTTAGAGTGTTCATGTATTATCTGCAATGATACTAAAAAGAGTGATGATGAGACAAAATTATGGAGAGAATTGTTAGATGGGATGAGTTATATAAATAGCACATGTAGACCTACTAGTAACCAGTTTGGAATAGTTGGGATCCAGGTGGCCAGTGAAAAAATATATTTAAATATCCTGATAAATGACACGAGCGGAATCCTGAGATATTTCTATATAGACCATGCAGAAATTCTACTAACTTCTGGCATGTCATGGCAGGTAAAACCCTTAATGCGATTACTGTTGACATTAAAAATATTATCATTGTGAACAAAAGTCTGCTCATTCAGACATTAAGCAGAGTATTTCACATCTGCCTCGTAATTTTCACCCAAGTCCCACTGTCTCTTCACCACATAGAGAAGAATCAGGACAAAAAAGGCCTAGGAAAAATAGTAAAACCAGAAAGTTAACCAAACAAAAAAGTGTGCATTTTTAGAATATATTCTATATTTGTTTTGTTAAATATTTTTTATATAATAAAGCTAGTTCTGGTAGCCCAATTTCGCATATATAATCGTGTTTACTTTCGCATATATATTTCGTGAATTTATTTTATTGTATTGATATCGATGTATGTTAATTCGCATATAATCAAAGATTTTTCTTGGCATTGGCGTGAAGATTCTTCACACTCACATGATTTTTAATCTGTTAATATTTTTTCTGTATTGGTATGATTATTTGAATGTATACATATATTATATTAAAAAATGGCAAATACACAATCCAAACCTGATTTATCAGAACAGATTTTTAAGCTTTTAGCTGAAAATACTGAACTTAAAAGAGAGAAGGCCAAATTCTTAGCTAAGGAAGCAGAATTTATGGCCAGAATAATGGAATTAGAACAAAATGCTGAAAAATCAAGATTAAAAGATACTGAACTCAATGCCAGAATCATAGAACTAGAACAGTTAGCAAAAGAAATAAAAAGTGATTTGCAATATTGGAGCAGAATCAAAACAATGCAGTAGATAAATTAAAAAATGGTGATAATTCATCTAAAAATGATGATATATCCGACTCTGTTATAAACTATTGCATTGATACTAACTTCAAATCATTAGAGGGTGATATAGAAAATATTTCCGATATTATATCTGATGATATGGAGCATCAAACATCTGGTTCTTCTGATATATGTCAAGAAAAGGATACCTGATCTTCTACATCTTCCGAACCAAATTCTAATGATACTTTTGAAGATAAAGAGATCGAATTTCTGAAACAGGTACATAAAGAACAGATTAGAAATGAAATAAGAGAGAGAAACCAGGAAAAAAAGCTGTTACAAAATAATAAAACATCTACTTCTCGAGATCAAGAACTGATACAAAAGAGTTTTATACCTAAAATCGATCAGAATGTTTCAAAAGAACCTATTAGTCAAACACAAAGCACCATTTCATCCGAAATTAAAATTCCCTATAATCAAAAAGTTAAACAAGGTTTAATATATGAGTTATCTACATTTTTTAACAAGACAAGCCTTTCGAATTTCATATCTGATAAACAAATTCTTGAAAATATGCTTGATGGAGATGATTTAACTCTGGGCTCTGCTTCACATTTGGCCCATTTATTCGACAAGGCTAAAAAAACGGGACAGAAAGAAATTTTATGTTGGTATTATTATAGTAAAAAATTCGAGAAAAAGGTTAGAAAAAATTTCTTTAAAAAACAAAATTAATGATCAAATGGCAAGAACACAAATTTATAATGAAATGGAACCATTTCTTCCTGGCATCAAGAGAGAGTATTTGTATAAGAAAACTCAAAAGGCTAGAAATATTTATACATTGTTCAAAGAAATAGGAATAAATAAAATCAAACAAGTTACATATAGTGCTGATGCTATTTCTAGTTTAACAGATGTTCAAATTCAAAACATAATAAAGCTTTTCTTTGAAAAAACTGAATGTCAAAAAGTAATCGACATGAAGAATCTTCACGTACACATGAGTGAACCATCTAGCTCAAATGATATATCAAATATTAAGATAAGTGCATTACCCACTCTAAACCTCTTTCCATTAAAGAAAATGTTGTTAAAAGAAACGCGTAATCGAGTCATTAATAAATTAACTACACATTTTATCGATTCACCAAAGTTGAATAAAAATAATAGCATAGATACAGAAGGTGAGCATCAAACTGATTCTTATTAGGTTTTAGGTTCATATTGTCCACTATGTAGAGAAAATCATATGAGTTTGCGAGGTAAGTGGTGGTTAGATAATCAAGGCAATAAATTTTATTATTTGTATTGTGATAATATCAAAGACCCAGGGATCTCATTTGACGAGATACTAGAAGCCTATCCCGAAAATTCTAAATTAATTCAGGAGTTAAAGACTCAATCCTTTACATTATCTATTTCTTGGAATAATGCATGTAAATTTCTAAATAAAAGCATAATAGTGGAGGCATGATTTTCTATAGAGTATCGCAAGTTAGAAATAAAAAATATTGCATCTGTAGCTTACAATGCATATCAATATATATATTTTTTTAAAATAAAAAATAGCGAGCCCATAGGACCCCCTCTTTATTTCATAAAAATGTTGCTGAAACAACAATATAACATACAAATAATAATTTTTTTTAACTATACATTAAGGATCGTAATCATTATTACCAGTGTTGGCACATGACCAGGTCATAACAGGTCATATTACTAAGTTCAATTAGTAATGTCATATGACCTCAGTCAT